TACAAAAATTTGCCTGGCATGGTGGCCACATGCCTGTAATCCCAGCTACCTGGGAGGCTAAGGCAGGAGAATTGCTTGAGCCTAACAGGCAGAAGAGGCAGTGAGCCGAGATCACACCACTGCATTCCAGTCTAGGGGACACAGTGAGACCCTGTCTCAAAAAAAAATTAAAAAGGTACTTGGTAATTTTTAAAATCATTTTGTATTGCATATTATTCTTTTCTAAAGATTTTCAAGCTCATTACTTCCTTACCACAACTCTATTATATGGACTGATGTTGTCACTTTACAAATGACAAAGCTTTGGACCAGAAAAATGGAGTCTTGTTGGGTCTCACATCACCATGTTACATGAGGTAGGACTAAATCAATGGCCTCCTCAATCTGTGTTTCAATCGCTTTTAACAGAACTCACAGCATTCAAAGGAACAGTTCCCTTCTTCACCTCTGAAAAATCACTCAGCAGTGCACAGTATGTTTCAGGACAAGGAGATATGATGTAAGGAGTGTGCCAGTAGATCCAAGGCAGCAGGCAGGAGAAATCTACAGAAAGACTTTTTTAGAATGTAGTCAAAAGAAATCAAAACTGCTATTTATATGTCACATTTTACATTACTGGCATTAAAAATGTTGAGTGTACTAGAACAAAGCTGTTTTTTTCCCAAAATATTCTCCACCCTGCCTCAGAACAAATCTCGTTAGAAATGCTTGCATCTGGAGACTTATTAGTGGAAGGGGAGGAAGCACTTCTGTGTAATTTTCCTCTGGGTGAGGGAAGAGTAAATCACAATCCTGCCCTTAGTCACTCCAACCATAAGAACAGCAAGTAAGTTCTTAATTCTGCACTTATATAAAACTCTACTCTTTATCAGTGTTTATCTGTTTGTTACAGTTTCCAATGTGTTGTCTTCTGTTTATTCATCTCAGTGTATACTCTGTTGTCCTTCAGATTGTAAACTCCAATAGGTGACATCATGGGTGTCCTGCCTAGGTTTATAAAGGTAGAGCACTCGGCCACAAGCACAGAGGCATCAGATGCTATTTGATAAGTGGATTAAGTTATATTTATACAAACTCTATAACAGATTAAATTTGTTCTAACAAAACAGTGGGGATTAGCACTAACTAGGCCGTTTGGCCTTAGGTATACTCTTCTCTGGCATTTACACAACTAGCTAATAAGCAGCTGCAATGCCTTCACTTGTTCTTCATATCCCAGATAATACATATGCTTACCTACCTCATTTAACTGCTCCAAAATAAAACATTTGATAGCCCAGGGTCTTTTTACCTCCCTGCTAAACATTTTCAGGGGAACTACCCCATTAATTTATAAAAGACAAGAAAAAAAAAACACGAACAACCTTAAGATAATGCTTCAAACTTGAAACACACATGTAAGTCACTGGGCATAACTTGGCTTGAAAACATCCTGGCCCTAAATCCAAGGTAACCAAGAACATAATTCTATTTTTGACTTGAGTCACTGTACACATCATTTTTTTTGTTGTTCCTAATTTATTTTTCTGGTACAACGCGTTATTCAAATGTAAATACCATAATCATATAGCATCCCTGGCTACTTCTCCCAAGCATGTAAGTTTGATCAATCATGATTCCTTTTGTTTTCCTAGGAACCTCTTTCCTCAAAGCTATGAAAAGGGCTTTTTGTTAAGATCCTAAAGGAAATACTCCAGAAGAAACCTTGACTGTGATGATCCTGTTTTTAGATGAAATGCCAGGAGGCACGAAGTCCTGAAAAGGACCAGTGATATACACTAGTTATATTAGACAAAGATTTCCTCCCCAATCAAGTGTGTGAAAACTGGAGGAATGAGAATGGTCATAAGCCCAGCAAAGGGACTAGAAGTGCACAAGAGTAAAAAGAGTTACAACAAGGGCAAAACAATTCTGAGAAGAGAAGTTTAAAATAACCAGTGAAAGTCCATCATGGAAACAGAAAATATACAAACTCTAAAACAAACAAACAAACAAAAAGTTGGATCTTAGATTTTCCCCCATATACACTACAAAACTGCCCAAAAAGTCTACCTGAATCCTCAGTGAACTTCCAGTCTCCAGATCTCTGTTCCTTGTGTTGCATCCTGTATTTAAATACACTAAATACATATAAATTACATCCTATAATACAAATTCATGTTAGGAATTCTTGATTTTTAATCTAAGGGTTTTACCGTAACTTCTAAAACTCTATTCAACTACAAGGTAGGCTCCCAAGGGCAACTAATGCTCTGCGTAAGGCACCTTGTTCCCCCGGAAGTACATACCAGCTCCTATTTGGCAAAATCTGGGTAAAATGAAACACAGGTTCACAAATTTTTAGGTAGAGAGAAAAATTTTCCCGGAGGCTTTTCCCAGTCCAGCTACACAGCATCTTAGAGTTAGGCCAGGTAAAAGAGCAAAAGGAAAAACTTGCTTGGGGTCTCCTTGGTCAGTCTGGTGAGCATAGGATGATTTGTTCACATTTTCCAGCATCCTTGCTCACATCTGCTACTTTACTTTCTTTTCCATGGTGACCTGTATCAGGGATACTATTGAAGGGGACCCTTATCAAGTAGGATGTTCAACTGGGATCCCCAAATTCTCCAAAAACATCAACCTCAAATGCTTGTAGAAAATTCTAATGAGGTCAAAAAAAAAAAAAAAGATGGTACTTGGCACAATTTACTGTTCTTCATTGTACACCAATGAGAAGTCAGAACACCACTGAAAATGTTCCCACAAGATGGGAATCAATTTCCCTAACATGGTCCAAAGCCCTAAATATAGCCACAATTTTTTTTTTTTTTTCAAATAAACTCAGTTAAACTTGTGGAAAGAGGAAATGATGGTGGACAACCGGGCAAGGAGAGCACAGAACACAACGACAATGTAACCGCCACTATCTCCTCATGAATTCAAATGGCTTTAAATGTCCTTGGCAAGAGCTGCCAACGTACAGACACCTGTAATACCCCATGCCCCATCCGCTCCAGGCTTTGTGCCCTTGATGGAGTCTGGGTTACAGAGAGGGAAGGGAAGAAATTACACACCTTGGGTCCGAAGTAACTCTATCATTCTGCGGAGGTCCATGGCATCACTAATACTCAGACTAGCAAAAGGCATAGAATTCCCCACTCAAATTATAAGGCTTGTTAGCCTAAAGAAAACACGAAAATTTAACTTAGGAAGTTTAAAGTCCTCACAATATGCCTTCCAAGTGCGCGCGCGCGCGCACACACACACACACACACACACACGAAGTTATTTAATTTTCACGACTACAGAGACTGTTTTAAATGATGGAATTCAAGAAAAGCAAAATCTAGAACATAAAACTTAATCCAGAATTTAGTTCAAAGTTTCACTTGAAACTTTTAAAAGGTTTATTATACTGGGTCTAGATCTGTTTAACAATAAACTGTTTTTGCAAGACATTTTGGGCAAAAAGCACCTCGCAGAGTGTCAGAATTGGGAGTTGATGTTCAATTTTAAAATGTGCTGAAAAATTGTTAAAGATAAACTTCTCAACATACGTGTGCTCAAAGGCAATATAGGATATTTTAAGGTATCTTCTAAAGTTAGCCCTTGAAATCAGAATAGCATAGGGATTTTTAAAGACAGTATTCTGTGGTCAAACTGATTGGGTCAAAATGCTGGCTCTACCACTGACAGGTGTGGATTTCCGGCAAGCCGCCTAAGTTTCTCTGCGACTTTAAGTTTCCCCACCTGTAAAATGGGAATCATAATAGCGCCTACCTCACCGCATTGTTAAAAAAGTAAATGAGACGGAAATCAACGTAAAGCATTTAAGATAGCAAGCTCTCCATAAATGCTATCAATATTCAAAAGTATGTGTTCGGGAGATCAAATCTATTAAACATACACATCAGCTCTAATCAACTGAAATCTCGGAAATTCCATAATTGCCTCTTACTCCCCCTTTCCACACATCATGCGGCATCAACCTTCCAAATGATGTGGAAATTACATACTTTCATTCATCCGTTTGAGAGCTTGTCATATACGGCACGAAAGAAGAAAGATGCATTTTTTTGTGTGACTGTTGCTCCTTCACAACTTCAAAACACTGTCACGTACACAATAGGTTGGAGCTGCCCTCAAAATGACAGCTCACAGCTTTGCAGGGCCCGCAGAGGCATCCAGGCGGCTCTGCCCGGAAGGGGTTCACCCCAAAAACCGGAGCCACGCACAGCGCACGCCTGGGAACCCCAAGGAACACAAGAGAACTCTGAAAGGGGGAAGGACCCCGAGTAGTAGAGAAAGAGAGGGGAAGAAGGGTCACGGAAGGTCCGGAGCCACACTCGGATCAGGCGCGTCCACGCTGACAAGCCCGGGACCGGGTGCTGGCGAAGGGCAGCGCCGTCCCGGGCAGCCCCTTCCCCTTCCCCTCCCCGTCCCCTCCCTGGCGAGCACCGAAGCCAACTCTGGTCCCGCGCCAGACTCGCCCCCCGGCGCCCCCTCACCTAAAGGCGGGTCCTTCCTTAGGAGCCCTGCCCTGGGCAGACGCCGCCGCGGAGCTGCCGCCGCTGCCCCTTTTGTTGAAGAGCTTCTGGAGCAGGGTCGGGGCCATGATGCCGCCGCCGCCGCCGCCGCCGCCGCCGCAGCTCCGGCCGTGGCGCTCGGGGGGCCGGCGGCTCAGCGCGCAGCCGGGGGCGGCGGCCGCGGTGGCGGGGCCATCGCGGCGGCGCGGCCGCCCAGCCTTGCGGGAGCGCGGGGCCGCTGCGGCTGAGTAACTCTGCTCGGCGCCGGGGCCGCCGGCTGCCGGTCATATGACTGAGCCGGCCCGCCGCCGCCTCGCGAGCTGACAGTTATCTCCTGCGGGAGGAGCCCGCAGCCCCACGGCGGCGGCGGCGGCGCGGGAGGAGCGCGGAGGCCCCGGCGGCGGCCATTGGCCCGGCGGCCGCCCGCCCCGGGCTCACGTAACCCCGGCGGGAGGCGGGAGGCGGGTGGCGCGGCCCGGAGCCGGCGGGCGGCCGAGTGACTCCCGGCACGCGGGGGACGGGGCCGGGGGCGGCGCGGCACTTAAAGGGGCCCGGGGGGCGAGGGCGGCCGCCAGGGCGCAGCTCCGCGAGCGGCGTGGGGATCCTCCGGAGCCTTCGCTCTTTCGCACAAGGAGCGTGCAGCTAGGCCGATCTTTGTTCTTTAAAGACAAAGCCCCTGAACTTGGGTCCTCGTTTTGTTCAGGTACAGGAGCCCGTTCGCTGAAGGCGAGTGCTGGGGGAGAGGGCTTGGTACGCGCGGTGGCCGCTTCGGGGGGCTGTGACTTGAATCACACAGCAACCCAGGCTTTGGGCAGGTTTCTTCCATAACCAGATTCGATTCCCGCAGGCTTTCACAGAATTTAAACTGTTTATCCAAATCATTTGTTCTGTTTGGCGTCTTGGGCCACCATACCACGGTTATATAAGAAGTTGCGTTTGAAATGCTAAGCTCCCCCTTTAAAACACACACACACACACACACACACACACACGCACACACACACGGAACTCACTACATAGATTTAGAAACTTAAAATATTTTATAAGAAGGGACTGTTTTCCTATTGCATATTAACAATTACGGTAAAATAGTCTGTGATCAACGGCAGATACTTGGCTTGAGAAAGGGAGGAGTTCGCGTGTTTCAGTCCACTCTCCTGCCCTGCCCCACTCCACTCCCCTTTGGAATGTAATCCTTGGTGGTGCAGGGCTCTAAACAGCCACTGTAGGACATGCTGCCAGATTCAAAGCAACTTCTTAATCTATGTTTCACAGCGTTTGGCTTCACGAATTTTTCTGATGATGGGAAATAGAGCTAAAGTTGGTAAGATCCCAACCATGCCTCTTGTAGCTTCTCCATGAGCAGTGAACAGCGACTTCACCCCTGGGCTCTCTCACACTTGTTGAGAGGAGGACTCCTGGAGACTCAAAAAGTGAAAAGTATTTCCAAAAACATAAGTAATCAAGAACACCTAATCTGGGCCTATTTTAATTTGCATTTTCTTTTCTTTCTTTTTTTCTTTTTTTATTGTGTTAGTTTCTGCACTTGGTTGGGAACTAGCTGTGAATAATGTGCTGAAATTTTACAAAAATAAGAGAAAGGTGGTAGAAACGGAAACTTAGTCATTGTTTCCTTCAGATTTTTACTGTGAAAATGGTGGATTAAGTGTTTCTCCTGATGAGCAATCATTCTTTTGCACAGTTGAGTGTCCACAGAACCCTGATTGGCAGCATTGCTATTTCTGTCTCCCGAAGGCCTTTCCCTCCTAGGGCTGCCAGTGTTGGTCACTATGCTATATAGAAGGTATTGGCTTGTTCCGTTGTACCATTCAGACACAGTCCCAGGCCATACTATGGCCAGCAACCCACCGCCTTTTCTTACTCCATCCTTGGTCAGAAAATGTCCTTTATTCTCCAGACTAAAATCGGCATGGTCCTCGTGAGCCTAGCAGCTTTTGTAACTACATATGGAAGAGGAATTTGACATATTGTGGCTCATTCCTCACTTCCTGGGACTCTTGTAGTTCTAACCCAGTCCAAATAGACAAGATTATCCCAAAGAGGCAATTAAAAAATCATAACCTGTTCCAGCCATCATCTTCAATTTTGGTTTTGACTGGACATTTAAAACTATTAAAGCCAGGACTTTACTTAAAGGAGACAAAAGGAATCAAAGTGCTTCCCCTCTCCCGCTTTCTCCCTTTGCCTCCTCTCAGCATCACATTCTTTCTCATCCTGGTTGTGGCCACACCTCCTGCTTTGGATTTGTAAAGTATACAAAAATCCTGGCCAACGAAGTTCTGGGATACAGCTCTAACCAGCAATCTCAGTCTTTTTTTTTTTTTTTTTTTTCCTTGGCTATTCAAAGCCTCTACAAAAACCCAATCTTTTGCCCATCATCCATTGGTCACTGCCTGATCCTTCAGGCTTGTCATAATCTCAAGCTTCAGCATTGGTCACGTGGCCCATCGCCCAGTTCTATAGATCTCCTTTATTCACCTCTTCCCACTCACCTTATCTTGGAGAATATACCAGCTGGCTGTTCCTGTATGCAGCTGTCAAGAGGAGCAGGGAATAAGACAATATCCTGAATGCTTGGAGATGACGGAAAAACACTAAAATGGGAAAGGGCAAGTTGTGAAGGGCTGACTTACTTAGTCTGGTCTGTTCTGAGTCCTGGTGACAGTTCTCTTTAATTAGTGTATATTCTGTAAGTTGTTTTAGTTCTGCTTCTGCAGCTAGACTGGCACTGATACTGTTTGTAGCCTATGTAATACCTGTCACCCTTATTCCTAACAGGAGGCTAGAGGGAAAGGAACTGGAAGAGAAGGAGTAATTCTGGAAAAAGTTTCCTCACTTTTAATAGAGACAGAGAGATAGGTAGGTTTTTTTTCTTCCTTTGGATGTTACATGTCTAGGTCTAATGCCACAGCTATGTTGCCACAAGCCTAAGGATGAAACCAGGACCAGAGGTGGCAAAGAGACGTAGAAGCGAGCTGGGTCCTCAATGACATTAGTGACCACAATCCCTCTACCCTAAGCTGACACTCTCCATTAGGAGGGATAGTATTTCTGTTTTCTTAGAGACCAGTCTATAAGAGGCTGACACCAGTTCATGTTTTCTATCCTCTTTATTGCTTGTTATATGAGACAAATAACACCAATCTGTTTATCTCTCAATATGGCAGAGAAAATGCTCATCACCAGTGGTCCTGTTCTGTTTTTTCATACTGTTAAGTCATTTTGCAAATCATTTACAGAACTAAGAATAAAGGAATAGTGAAAAATAATTCTTAAAAAATGTAATTTAAATATAGCAAACCTAGTTTTTTATTCTATCTTTTCCTGCATTTGAAGGATTATTTACCCTAATGAACAATGTTCTTTAAACAAAGCTGACTGCTTATCAATCAGCATATATGAACCAGGAACACAATCATCTTGTAAATATTGATTCCAGGTTTCAAATACTTTTTTTTTTTTTTGAGATAGTCTCACTCTGTCACCCAGGCTGGAGTAGAGTGGCACAATCTCAGCTCACTGCAACCTCTGCCTCCTGGGTGCAAGCAATTCTCATGCCTCAGCCTCTGGAGTAGCTGGGACTACAGGCAACCATCACCACGTTTGGCTAATTTTTTGTATTTTTAGTAGAGACAGCATTTCTTTCACCATGCTGGCCAGGCTCGTCTCGAATTCCTGACCACAAGTAATTCACCTGCCTCAGCCTCCCAAAGTGCTAGATTACAGGTATGAGCTACCACACCTGGCCTCAAATACATCTCTAATGATTCTGACTTATCATTACCTTTGTGCTGCTTGTACGTGAATAAACAAAAAGCAGTGCTTTTGAAAACTTTGATGGCTTATCATTTTTTTGAAGAGATAATAGCTATTTTCTTTGTTTCTTAGTTGCAAAATATTTTCATTTTTAGATGTATAAACACCAATAAGAATGAGCAATTCAATGAATTTTTTCATCTCGTCCTCATAGATTTCCTTCTTTTCACCTTTGTATATATACATCTGCCTTGATCATTTGTTGTCTTATAAACTATATGAAGTATATTGGATGCACAGCATCATAAAAGATGACAATATGTCACACTTTTTTAGGATGGCTCAGGTTATTGTTGCAAAATATTGAATAAGGAAGTAATTCCTATTAAATGCCAAAGTGGATGAGAATACCCTCTTTCCGTTTTATCCTTAGGTATATATTGTTGAATTGTCAGTTCTTGAGTTTGAGAAAATTTATCTAGGATATCATCACCTAAAGACTCATAGTCTGAGATTTCGCGTACATGTTTCAGACCAGGCATGATGGCTCACACCAATAAATCCCAGCACTTTGGGAGGCCTGGGTGGGAGGATTGCTTGAGCCCAGGAGTTTAAGACCAGTCTGGGCAACAGCATGGGACCCTCTCTCCACAAAAATTTTGAAAAAATAGCCAGGCATGGTGGTATACACCCATAGTCCTACCTACTCAAGAGGCTGAGGCAGGAGGATCACTTGAGCCTAGGAGTTTGAGGCAGCAGTGAACTATGATCACACCACTGCACTCCAGCCTGGCAAACAGAGCAAGATCCTGTCTCTAAAATAAAATAAATAAAAAAAAAAATTTCACCGTCATCTTTAAAGTATTAGACATCTTTTTTGCATTAGACATCTGCTTTTTCTAATTATCAGAAATGTTTTTCTTTATCAATTTTCTTCTCTTTGCTGTTATGGGAAAAAATGAAAAATTCTGAATATTTATCAACAAAAGCTTTAAAAAACAACAACAAATACTATGAAAATAATGTCTCCAGATTTTTTTTTCTACCCTGTTAAAAGATGGTAAAGTGTTTTGCGCATTACAATAAGATGATGGAAGAATCATCTAATAGCAATGATTTATTTCACTTTTGTCCCCAGTTTTTCTGTTATAACACCCACCTTCCTATTTTTAGCTTCTTTTGTACAGTTGGGAATAATTGCTGAATAATGTTGAAATAATTTCTAGGATCGTGATACAGCAAAATTTCTGGAGCTAGAGGAAATCAGAATAACCAAGATCCTGTTAAGTTATGAAAGGGTCCAGTGGACCCTGTATGAGACTTGCAAGATAGAGTTTTATTTTATTTTTTAAAAGGGAAATTTACCTTTTTTTTTGGAAAAAGTAGGAATCTAAGAACAAATAAAAGTAACAAAATAGCCATCCTTATAAGCACTTGGAACCAGCCAGGCACAGCGGCTCATGCCTGTAATCCATTCCCAGCATTCTGAAAGGCTGAGGCGGGAGGATTGCTTTAGCCAGGAGTTAAAGACCAGCCTAAGCAACATAGTGAGACTATATCTCTACAAAAAGTTAAAAAGAAATTAGGAGTGGTATGTGCCTGTAGTCCCAGCTACTCAGGAAGCTGAAGTGGGAGAATCACTTGAGCCTGGAAAGTTGAGGCTGTAGTGAGCCTTGATCGTGCCACTGCACTCCAGTCTGGGTGACAGAGTGAGACCCTGTTTAAAAACAAACAACAAGCTCTCAGGGAAGAAAACCTCAAAATCTGTAATTGAATCTAATGACCCCTGATGGCGTAAGGGTTAATCCACTGTAAATTGATGCTTCTGGTATTAGCAGCTGAACTCCACCCACCTGACAGCCTTACAGTGGCTATCAGTGACCTCCTTGGTGCTGAAATCAAGGGACATTTTTCTCTTCCCTGCAATCAATTCAATTGACCACTTGCTCCTTTTGGAAACTTTCATCTTTCAGTACGACAGACCTCTTCTAGTTTTAACTAACCTTGTTGGCTACTCCATCTCCACTGGTGGGTCTTCCTTTCCCATCCTTTTATTTATTTATTTAGAGACAGGATCTCGCTCTGTTGCCCAGGCCGGAGTGCAGTGGCACAAACAGCTCACTGCAGCCTCGACCTACTGGATTCAAGCAGTTCTCCTGCCTCAGCCTCCTAAGTAGCTGGGACCACTGGTGCTCACCACCACACCCAGCTATTTTTTTTATTTTTATTTTTACAGATAGTATCTTACTATGTGGCCCAGGCTGGTCTAGAACTCCTGGGCTCAAGTGATCCTCCTACCTCAGCCTCCCAAAGTGCTGGGATACTGTAGGCATGAGCCACTGCACCCAGCCTCTCTTATCCTTTGAGGTATGAAATTCCTCAGGCTTCTCATCTCTCACTTCTATTCTTCTAATTTGTCTTCTTTATCTCCCTAGATAAACTATTCCATCCCTGCAACTTTAAATGCCATCTGTCGATGACATTTAATCTTGTTCCTTTGATCCTGACCTCTCTTCAGAATTTTACAACCAGCTACCTACTTGATATGTCCACTGGGATATCTTAAAAGCATCACACACTGAACCCTTGATCTTTGCTTGATCCAAATCCTGCTTCTTTTGCCATCTTCCCTGTCTCAGTAAATGGCACCTTCCTTTTACACATTTGTTTAAACTGAAACTTAGGAAGCATCCATAACCCTTCTGTTTCTCTCATCATCCAAAATATTTCTCATCCATTTATCTCTCCATTCATTGCCACCACCCTAGTCCAAGCCCCATTTATCTGTTTTATCTCCTGGACTTTGGCAGTAGCAATTGGTGACTTTCTCGCCCAACTCCTATCTACTCTAGTGCAGCTGCTGTAGGGATCACTTACAAATGTAATTTTTTTTCATGTCACTTCCTTAATTTAAAATTTTTAGGCGTTTCTCATCACACTTAGTAAAATCCAGAATTCTTGGCTTTGCCAAGAGAGATTTAGGTCCCTGCGTCCCTCCCTCTCCAAATTCATCTCACATCACTGGAAAGGAGTAGCGTGATCTTAGCTCACTGCAACCTCTGCTTCCTGGGCTCAGGTGATCCTCCCACCTCAGCCTCCTAAGTAGCTGGGATTACAGGCATACACTGTCACATCTGGCTAACTTTTTTTTGTATTTGTAGTGACAGGGTTTTGCCATGTTGCTCAGGCTTGTCTGAAACTTTTGAGCTCAAGCAATCTACTGGCCCCAGACTCCCAAAGTGCTGAGATGACTGTGCCCAGCACTCATTCCCATTTATCTTTTAGTTCTCAACTTAATGTCACTTATTTGCATGTTGACTGGCTGATTACCTCAATCTATTTTCTTAATTGAAGGCCCCAACCTTGCCCCCAGTGTTTCTGTTATAGCACCCTTTTCTATTCCTTTAAAGCACTTACCATAATTTTTAATGAACCAATAAATAAATTTATAACACCTTTGTCCCACACTAAATGTATATTCCTTTAGGTCAGGGACTATGTCTGACTTGTTGACTAATATGCCCGGCACATGGTATCCCCTCAGATATGTATTTGTTGACTGACTGAATGAATGAATTCAATAAATGAATGAAGTTCACAATCCCTATACCATGGTAAGCTCTAGACCACCACAAAAGAATTTTCCATGGAAACTACTGGATGAGGAAGACTTTCTTACCTTTTTCCATTTATTTATTTTGGGAGGAAGAAGAGATCATTGCTGTTCAGTTGTAAGTCCCCAATAGGAAACTGATCATACAGGAGACTTAGATTTTTGTTTTTGATTACCTGGCTTAACCCTAAAGCCCTTTTGCTTCAGCATTACCAAATTGGTTCTCTAACCCCGAATGTGAATATTGTCTTTCTGAATCACCTAACATTTAATACTATCTGCCTTCTCTCTCTTCTCCCTCTTATACCAAACCCCCTCCCTGAGACAAAGCAGTCCATATCAGTTATTGTCTTTTACTTCAAATAATAGAAACTCCAGCCCAAAGTGGCTTAAACAATAAAAGGATATTTTACCTCATAAAATATTAGGTCTAAAAATAGGACAGGTGCCAGTCATGGCATGCTAGAACCACCTTTGCTTCTCTGGGATTACCGTGGCTCTGCTCTTTTCTTTCTTTCTTTTTTTTTTGAGACGGAGTTTGCTCTTGTTACCCAGGCTGGAGTGCAATGGCACCATCTCGGCTCACCGCAACCTCTGCCTCCTGGGCTCAGGCAATTCTCCTGCCTCAGCCTCCTGAGTAGCTGGGATTACAGGCGCACACCACCATGCCCAGCTAATTTTTGTATTTTTAGTAGAGACGGGGTTTCACCATGTTGAACAGGATGGTCTCGATCTCTTGACCTCATGATCCACCGGCCTCGGCCTCCCAAAGTGCTGGGATTATAGGCGTGAGCCGCTGCGCCCGGCCTCTGCTCTTTTCTGTGTGTTAAATTTCTCCTCAGGCTAGCACCAAGATGGCCACCACACTTCCGGGGACTATGTGCAGGTGCAACTATATCCAGCAGGAAATGGGGCTGGTCTCTCCCTGTGTATTTCATTTTCTCAGAAGCTCTGCAGCATCTAATCACTGGCAGGGGGATGTGGTGTTATTGTGATTGTCTTTGACTAATGAGACTATTCCCTGAGTCACCCAGTGGAGTGATACTAGAATAAAACCAAGTCTCTGAAAAAGAGAGGGGAGAGTGGGGAAAATGACTGTTGGCCAAACAACCACAAGAACTGG